TTTTTTTTCACGATTTAGCTGGTATAACCCTGAAATTGTTACCGTCATATTTAAACCGAAATTTTACTTTCTTTTTCCCCAAGTAAAGTTTCAGGGACTTAAAACTTTAACTTAAAAATAGCCACGTATAATCTTAAGATTTTACTATTGGAAAGTCCCCATTAACTTTATCTTACTTTCGTTAGGTTTAAATTTAAATTCTATCCATTCTTTTAAAGATTTGTTTAAAGAAATTACTAAAATAATTGCCTATAAATTAAAACAATCAATATAATATTATTATTAATTAAAAATACACATTTTTTGACTCATAGCTTTCTGAAATTATAACATAAGTAAAACAAAAACTAAATATATCCATAATATGAGATATTTAACCGCATAAATTGAATCATTTAGTATATAAAATGTTTTTATGTGGTTTTTTGGTTTACTCTCCGAAACACATTAACCCATTAAATATGAATTAATTTTTTTTTAATTTCTTAGAAAATAAAATATTACAATTACTTAGAGTAAAAAAATCGCTTCAAAATATCAGAAAACGATATATTTGAAATAAAATCGCCTTAAATTAATTTACATTTTCTTTTTTCTAAAGTTCATACCTATCAAATATTTGACGAAAATCACGTGACCCCTAAAAACTCTATAAGTCATTGTTGAGCTTTGAAAATTTTAATCAAATCGGATTATATTAAGCCGAGATGCATTAGTTCTAAATCGCTTCAAAATATCAGAAACGATATATTTGAAATAAAATCGCCTTAAATTAGTTTTAAATTTTCTTTCTGCTAAAGTTCACACCTAACAAATATTTGACGAAAATCACGTGACCCCTAAAAACTCTAAGTCATTGTTGAGCTTTGAAAATTCTAATCAAATCGGATTATATTAAGCCGAGATGCATTGGTTCTAATTTTGCTGCAAAATCGAACAAGTATAAGCTATTCTTTTACAAGGTCAAAGTTCACATATTTAAATATTTGAAATTTTCAGAAAAAGTTACACAAATTGAAAAAAATAACGTTTTATTTAATGAATTTCATAGTTTTGTCTTGACTGACCTTTGAACCATTAGGATTCTGTGACATAAATTACAGATTTGCTCAAAAACTACTATTTTGGACTCCATTTTAATAAACTAACACCCAATTAGATTATTTTAAAGATTTAAAGATTATATTAACCAAAAGGGATAAGTCTAAGCTATTGTTTTACAAGGTCAAAGTTCAAAATTTTCAATATATTAAATTTTTCCATAAGAAGTTAACAAAATTTCAAAGAAATTCTAAATAATTAAGATTTTCTTTGAGGGATTTTATTAAGAATATATCAGTGAATAATTTTAAGGTCAATATCTTACGTAGTTTAGCTGTAACTGACCTTTGAACTTAGTATTTGGAGAAATATATAATTTTAGGCAATTAGTTAGCAAAAGGTCGTATAATTCTTATAGTGTTTAAATTTGAATAAACTAGTTTTAGAATATAAAAGTCTAGATCAAGTAAAACATTTGCCGATTATTTTAACCAAATCGGACAACACCTAATCTATTGCCAAGAAAGGTCAAAGTTGAATTATTTTAATATTTAGTTTTTTTTTTAGAAAATGTAATCAAATATATAACATTTTTAAAGGGAGTTCTTAAATAAAGAAAGATTTCTTCCTTGAGGCCTGAAATTTTTATTTCTAAGCAAATAAACCCTTTGCTGTACTTGGGGTCCAAATAAAGACCCATTTTAAAAAATGCTAAAATAAAATCTTGGATTTAAATCTTTGAAAATTTAGATTATAATATTTTATAATGTACTTTTAAAAAGATAATGGAAATTTATTATTTAATAAGATATAAAGTTGATATTTTAAAAAAATATGGGGTCATTCGGGTTTTTTGGATTATAAAAGGGTTAATTTTTCGTATATATCGTTTTCAAAATATTGAAATAGTTTTCATTATGTATTAGCATTTTTATAAAGAACTATATTAATAATTAAGCATTTTGGGGTCATAGGTCCCTAGTAGGTCAAGTATAATGTTGGGTCACTTTGGCCCTTAAGGCATAAAAAGGGTTAACTTACACATTGTTTAACTTTTTAAAGCAATGAAATGTTTATAATCAAATGTGGAAAATTAACCATTTAAGAATCATGGTCTAAAATTTGTTAAAATAATACGGGGTCATTTTGGTGCTTAAGTGATAAAAAGGGTTAATTTTTTTCTTAACCTAATTAATAATTTTAAATTAAAGGGTTAATTTAGGCTTTAGTTAACTTTTAAAAGCATAATGCAATGTTATAAACAAATGTTGAAAAATAACCATTTAAGGATCATGGTATTCGTTAAACTAATATGGGGTCATTTTAGTCTTTAAGTCATAAAAAGGGTTAATTTTAGTTTTAATTTCATTTTTATAAAGAATTCTAATTTTAAGAAAATATTTTTCTTAACCTAATTAATAATTTTAAATTATATTTTTAAAATCTTACCTATACTGTGAATTTCCCAAAGGGTTAAACACACCATTTTTGGCTGCGTACTACGTCAATTGAACAACTCAACATTTTAATAATAGACATTTTCTTGCCCAAAATCTTTAAAAATAATTTTAGCAATTCTTATTTTATTTCTTTTGCAAAATATCTGTTTCCAGCAGCACACAGCAAACCTAATGATGGACGTAATCAATTAAAAATAAAATTTTAATTAAACAAGCTAAATATACTACAATTTACTCTCAAATTCATTTTAATGAAAAATATATAAATAATAGAAATTGTTGCAAAAAAATGTAGAAAACTTCCACAAGATTTTAGGCTAAAGCTTTTGAAAATAGAATTTTAAATTAAAAAAATTATATGGCCAAATATTTAATTAATTTATTTTTTTGTTTTGAATTGATCAAAAAATGTTGACCTTTTGATTTTATATTGAAAAACTATAAATTAAATTTATGTATAATAAAATAATTTATAGTTTTTAGTTTGAAATATTTATTTATTTTTATTTTGTTTTTTAATCTCTTTACAGGATCAGTACGATAATTTAGCGATACACACAAATAAAGGCATTGAATTTTTGGATAAATATGCAAATTTTATAAGAGATCGCTTAGCGATAGAAACAGAATATGCCGCTAAATTAAGGTAAGTTTAAGGAATTTTCATATTAAACTATTTCTAAAGGAAAGAGAAAGAAAAAAATCCCTAAAAGTAGTCAATTACTGATGAAAGTAACCTAAAAAAAACTAAGTTAATTTTTTAAATTTTATGTAAAATAAGTTGATTTAAAGCTTAATTATCAAAATTTTTAACGATTTAATCATTATTTGCCCAAAAGTAACCGATTACTTTTAAAAGTAATCATGAAATTTTACACTAAAACTTATTGGTCTTAATATTTTGTAATAAAATTATATATTTTAATTAAAAAACTATTATAAAAACCTAAATTTGCTAAAAAGTAATCGATTACTTTTAAAAGTAACCATTTTATTTATTACATTAACAACGTTTTTCATAAACTCTTTAATAAAATAATATAATTAAAACATTGTATAAATTGTAATAACATAATTAAATGCTTTGTATTATTTTTTACTGTTTCAAGCAATATTTTCCAAAAATAATCGAATACTTTTAAAAGTAATCATGAAATTTTTACACTAAAAATTGTTGTCTTAATACTTTTGTATTAAAAGTACTAATTTTAATTAAAAAATTCAAATAAAATAATATAAAAAGAAAAAATTCAAAAAGTAATCGGTTAATTTTGAAAGTAACCATATTATTTATTACTAAAACAAAGTTTTACATAAACGTTTTATTGAAAAATCACGATTTGAAAGTGAAGTTAATACAATTTTTACTGTTTCAAGCTATATTTGCCAAAAGTAACCGATTACTTTTGAAAGTAATCGTGAAGTTTTGAACTAAAAATGACTGTCTTAATATTTTTGTATTAAAATTATTCAATTTCATTAAAAAAATCCTCTAAAAACCTACATTTCCTAAAAAGTAACCGATTTTTATAGAAAATAACCATTTTATTTGTTACTAAAACAAAGTTGTACATGAACGTTTTATTAAAATAACATAATTAAAAGTAAAGTTAATAAAATTTTTACTGTTTCAAGCAATATTTGCCAAAGTAACCGATTACTTTTATAAGTAATCATGAAAATTTGAACTAAAGTGATTGTCTTAACAATTTTTTATTAAAATTATTCACTTTAATTTAAAAAAATTGTATAAAAACCTACATTTCCTAAAAAGTAACCGATTATTATTGAAAGTAACCATTTTATTTGTTAATAAAACAAAGTTGTACATAAACGTTTTATTAAAATAACATAACTAAAAGTAAAGTTAATACAATTTTTACTGTTTTAAATATTATTTGCCAAAAGTAACCGATTACTGTTAAAAGTAATCATGACTTTTTAACTAAAAGTGATTGTCTTAAATGTTTTTGCATTAAAACTATGTATTTTAATTAAAAAATTAAAAAAAATCGTATAAATATGAAAAAATTCAAAAAGTAATCGATTACTTTTGAAAGTAACCATTTTATTTATTAAAAAAACAATGATTTTCTTAAAATTATAATATAAATAACTGTGTGTGTGTTTTATTACCACAATTTTTATCAGTTTTAACCTTTATTTGCTAAAAGTAACCGAATACTTTTAAAAGTAATCGTGGAATTTTACATTAAAAATGTTTGCCTTAATATTTTAATATTAAGACTATTCATTTCAATTGAAAAAAAAAATTAAAAAAACCCTTAAAATTACAAAAAGTAATCGATTACTTTTTAATGTAACCACACGAAAAATAAAATAAATAATGTTTTTGTTAATATTTTCATTAAAAAAGACGTTTTTAAAGCAAAAAATCTTTTAAAAACATAATATTCCCAAAAAGTAATCGATTACTTTTGAAGGTAATCATTCTATTTATTACAAAAACAAAAGTAATCGATTACGTTTTAAAGCAATCGTTCTAATAAACGGTTATCCATTCAAAATATAACAATAATCTACATATGCCTCTATCGGGCACCTCTGATGGTTATCAAACTCTTTCTTTTTGCTTTAGTTCTCTTCAGTTCAAGGCCCTTTATTTCCTCTTATTATTCACTATTTCACCACAATTCTAATAGAAATTTTCAGCTTAGAATTACAAATACATAATAGTATAACCCTAGGCGCTTTATTAAAAGCTTTTTAAATAACAAACGTTGGCATACTTTTAGGATGTTGCATTTTATTACAACAATTATAACTACCCTTTATTATTCTAAGTAAAGTATAGCCCTAGGCGCTTTATTAAAATCCATTTAAAAGCGTTTTAATTTAAAAACTTGGCATACTTTTCGGAGGTTTGTTTAATGATTAATAATTCTTTAAAATAGTTTAAATTAATGAACCAGAAATATTAGTTTATAAATTCAAACAATTTTATTCGACTACTAACAACTACTACTTCAAAACACTTAGTAAGCAATGCCAGTATTGGCCTGGATCCAGGTCAAATAGCTGGTCAAACGGGTAAAGGCGGCAGGATAGCCCTTTTCACAACCAGCTTTAGCACCGAACGAAGTCAAACCAACTTGAACCTTGGTGGATTCCAAAACCAAAGGACCGCCAGAATCGCCATTGCAGGTGGAAACAGCATTAGCAGTAGAAATGCAAATATTGGAGGCAGTAGTAACAATGGAAGAACCATAAGTTTGAGCACAAACAGCATTGCTGATAACTTGCATGCGAGCCCATTGCAAATGATTAGTAACACCACTGGTCTCATCGGAGATACGACCCCAACCGGAAGCAATGACATAATCACCAGTATAAGTCGAATAAGAATTGGCAATGGCAGGCAATTTAACCGGTTGGATCTTGGCCGAATAAGCAACAGCAGGGATCTTAATCAAAGAGATGTCATTCTTCAAGGTTTTGCTATTCCAGCCAGCATGAATCAAGACATTATCCTTGGTAACAGTATAGCTAACTTCAGCAGCGGTACGCACGGTAGCACCCAAGTATACGGTAATGGTGTTAATGCCATCGGTACAGTGGGCAGCAGTCAAAACCCATTGGTTGCCAATCAAAGAACCACCACACCAGGAGGAGGAAAGAAAATTAACTTTCAACGATAAACCAACTTGATAGGGAAATTGACCCACAGCAGCATTATTGCCATTGGTAATACGACCCTCAGTTTCAACGACGGGCACTACAACATTGCGTTGCTGCAATTCAGCGGAGGCACTGGCCAAAGCCAAAGCAAATATGATTAAGAATTTCATGTTGTTCAACTACTTTGCAAAACTACTAAAGTTAGAAGCTTTTTCTTCAAAGGTTTTATAGTGAAATTTTCTCCATAGTCTTTGGTTTTCCTAGCTGTGGAGATAAGATTTATTATTTATTATTTTAATTCTTTACTAAAGGAAATCTTTTGTACGAGTGTCTAGTTGGGAAAACCCTTAGATTTAAGTAATTTTTTTTCATTAAGTTTTTACGCGTTTTCTATTGATTACTTTTTTAAATACAACTTTTTTTTGTGATAAAGTTAAAACTATTTGCTTTGACTTTAAGTATCTTATCATATATATTTGGAATTTTATTCAGTAGCCTTTATTTATAGTAAGTTTTGACGTCATTTTTAGAGGTGGTTTGTTTCAAAAATTTCATTATAGATAATTTCAAACACTTCAAACTTTCTTGGCGGATTTAACTAGTTAAGCTAGTTCCTATTTGGCAAAACTCAACGATCACTGTTCGACGATTCTGTTTGATTAATCGAAAGCTTTTGTTCAGCGCTGAAGCATGTTTTGACTCAACTAATTCCCATTTGACTGAGTCCCACTCATAACTATATATGTAAATGCGATGGGCACCTAAGATCCGACGATAATTAAAACACTTGAATCAACCGGATGGGAGGGAGAAACCCTCTCGCTCGCAGCCAGAGAATTTTCTTACAGAAAGGAACGTGTCGATCTTGGCTAAAGGAAGTTTTTTTCTCCCTTTCGCGCACAAGCAGATGATTTTCTTACAGAAAGGAACGTCTCGAACTTGGTTAAAAATTGTGATGATCAGCAGCGCAAGGTTTTAGACTAGCTTAAAGAGCGGTTTAAACTTTGCCAATACTGAATCAACCACTAGTTGTTTCTCTTCTAAAGAACAATTTGATATTCTCTTCTCGATTGTTATGGAACATTTGTTCCATAACAGAAAGGAACATATAATCTTTATTTTGGTTCACAGGTTCCAAGTTCAGCAGTTCAAGGTTTCAAACTAGATTAATCCTTGTTATTAGATCGGTTCACTTTACAAGTGAAGAGCACCAACAACAAGCCTCGAAAAGGACACTAAAATACCAACTACTGATAACGTTAAGGAGTCAAATCCTAAAAGCGAAGAAGCTACCACTAACTCGCCAAAAGAAGGTGCAGCTGCCCTTTCCAAAATTGGGGAGGCGCCAATTGAAAGGGATATCAAAATCGGCCCCGATAAGGGCACTAAAACACCAAAGACGGTACCCAAAGCATCATTAGCAAGTACTGGTAATTTTGAGGAGTCAAATCCTAAAAGCGAGGAGGAAATCACACACTCGCCAGAAGACAGAACAGCAGTGCTGTCCAAAATTGGGAAAGTGTCGATTAAAAATACCGCTCTAGCTATGCCTGATAAGGACACCGAAGTGCCATCAAAGGTACATACTGCATTAGCAGCCACTTCAGGTTACCCGGAGGAGTCAAATCCAACGAGCGGGGATGTGATCACTAACTCGCTGGAAGACAGTCTTGATTTTTTTACAAGATGTTTTTCCATTCGACCAAACTCGGACTGCATTAAACGAGCGTTTATTCTTCACCAAAGAAGAATTAGATCTTCAATTTGGATAAAAACTGGATTTCATTTAATCACAACCAAAAGGGTTTCTTACAGAAGTGAAGAATCTTCAATTTGGAACAGATTAAGTTTGACGGTTTTAAAATGTTACCAATTCAGCGGCCGAAAGTTTTAAACTATTTTTGGCTAAACTCGACCACTGTCGACTGAAGAACAATTTGATATTTCATAACTTTGCAGATAACTGAGTACCGATTTGGATTACAACCCAAGGAAAAAAACTAACTA